GAGTGGGGTGGGACGGAGGATATTGGTAGCAGAATGGCACTCTCGCTGTTCACAACAGAGACACCAGCATAGCTCCATGTGAGCGCAAATGTTTCCTCATCCATGCAGAAGGGAAAGTAAACAGGTCTTGGATGTAAAGGGGTTGAGTATTGCTGACCCCCAGATGGGCCTGTAGCAGGACAAACAGCCCTCTGCCTTCAGGATGTGCCTTTATTTCTTGCGTATTCAGGTTATCTGTTGTGTAGAGAACAGGAGCCTGGGTGGCCAGTCTTGCTGAGAACTGAGCTGTGCTTGCAGGGAGTCAGATGTTTCCTGACACTTTGATGTCTAACAACTCACTGTCCCCATAACCACAGGGCCATGAAGTCGATTATCCTGTCTCCAAGGCCAACCAAACTCTGAACAAGGTGCAGAAAGCTATAGTGTAGGTGTCATGACGCGATGCTGAATAGCAAGGGAGGGGAAGAGGTCTTTCTGCTACCACAGCTGATGAAGCACCAAAATTGGGGTAGGTGCTGGTTATTAGGGTTGATGTAGCCTCTGTTCTGAGTCTGAGCAGCCTAAGCAAAGATGCTGCTAAGTACAGGCATCTTGTAGTTGTTGCCAACCAGCCGGACAACAGGTAACTCTTATTCTTGCATATTATTCTTCTTTAAAAAAACCCCAAACCCCAAAGAAATCAAACCATAATCCTTTAAAAAATTTGAAAAGTTTATTTCTTTAGAGGCTGTTTGTCACATACACTGCTAGAACAGTCATGATGCTGAGGGGCTTAAATCCGGTACAGATGAGAAGTTTCAGTGACATTTTATTTGGAACAAAGAACTTGTGGCTGGAAATCTTCACTAGAAGAACAATGGTTCAGTATTGGGGATTCTCATTTTTCAGACCTGCAGCAAAGAGCATCTGTCACGATTTAAAAACTCAAGTATTTCCTGTGTAAGTACCTTGCTGTTTCTGCGAAGGCAGCCAAGTAAATTTAAGAAAAGCTGGTTGTGCTCCTATTGTGAATGTTTAGGTGATGGATCTTGTGAGTAGAGGGCATCTGCACATAATGCAAATGCATTTACATCTTTTCCTCCTGTGATAAACACTGAATTTTGATTGCTCATTAATGCAAAACCTTCCAATTTTTATTTCAAGCTACCAACTAATGGTCTTGTGGGGGTTTTTAATTGTTTGTATCAAGGGCAGGTGCATATGTAAGCTACAGAAGAACAGAGTTGTTAGCACATTAGTGTAAACGTACCTTGCAGACACCCTTCCATGCTTAGTTACAACCAAGCTTTCTGATTCCTCCTCAGGGACAGCCAGACGGGCTTCTGGATGCTGAAGGCTCAGGCTATTCTTGCTAGGCGCTTGCTAGACTGTTAATTAGACCTACACTACGCTTCTGCTGATCCTTGCCTGTGCCTCATCTACTTGTCTTCTAATGAGTTTGTGGTCTACCTGGAAATGTTGCAAACAGCTTGGGGGGGGAGGGGGAGAAGCAATCTGTGTCAGTTATTTTCTCCTTCATTAGGTAAACATCTTGCACATAAAAAACTGAAATGCCTAATTACTTAAGGTTTGTGGTGTTTTAAACTGATGTAAGGGCAGCTACTGTAAGTGCTGAAGAAACTGAGCTCAGACTTTGCATTTTGTTTTATTTTATTTATGTTGAAGTATCTGGGGTGGTGCTCACTGAAGCTAGCATACAACACGGTGTGAGTCAAGAAAATTAAGCCAGTTTATAGCTGTATAAGAAGCTAACATAACCTGAGGAAAAAAATTTGCTTCTCAGTGATATTACAAAGATTCAAATGGATTTGGAGAAATGCAACTAAAAATCTGTAAGGGGACATGACATGGTCTGTAGCTGTACAGTGAAACAGAGTGAGGAATCCATCAGTGACTCAATAGAGATGAATCACATCTCTGCGTTGTACCACATGGCTACCAGGGCAAGGTTATGAATAAACTTTACATATCACGAAATATAGGATACCTTTCCCCCCCACATACCCTCTCTGATAACCTGAGAAGGCAGGTACACAAGTATGTACTAACGAATATGCAAATTACCTTCCTAATGAGGTAAGTGCATTGTCCACCAGAGAACAGGTTATGTCTAAGCAAGTGCATGTAGGCCTTTGGGGTTCTATACCTCCCGCAGCCACGTCTCTCACTAATGTATAAATCTGGGCCCATCCCCACACGCAGGGGGTTCACAGGCAGAATACTGAAATCAACAAACCAGAATTACTGAATTTCAGAGCTTTCAGGTAATAGCACAGTTTGCCTTTAATACAGACAAACTCTGTGGGCTGAGTCCAGTTCCTCACTGAGCCAAAGCACTGAGATGGTACCAGTGCAGGTTTTAGAAACCACCCTCAGAGTCCCTTGAGGCTCCTTCCCAGGACAGCCTGGATGTGTATCCTCAGAGCTAGCTCCTTGCTCCAAGCTATTGTCAAATTTATTTTTTTTCCAAATTATTCTGCATGTAGCTAGATGATGTGTCCTGCAATTGCTTACTGCCTGCTCACAGCCTCACGCCCTGAGCCAAAATGGGCGCTAGTTAAACACAGAGCAGAAAACAGAAGATGAGATTTGCAAGGTACCTGGGAATGCAGGTGTAAGACAATAATGCTGTGAGCATGAGACCTGAACCCGACTTCCTATGGATTTGTTTTGTTTTGTTGGTTGCAGGATCTGAGAAGTTACTAATACTGATTTAGGTCTTTCTTCTAATGAGGCATGAAGAAAGCCTCTCCCCTGTGGATCCTTTGGTGTCGGAAAAAGATAAGCATTGCACTTAAGCTTTTTCCCCAGTTAAGGTATGCTTAAGGTCTCTCTCCCTCACCTCACCAACTATTTTCATGACATTTTTAAGAACGTGCATTTGAGAGCGTTTTCCCTCAGTCACATTTGATCTAAAGTCAGTAGAGTTATAATAAGCATATACATGTGCGTGCTGATGATTTAATAAGCCTTAGGAAATCAGGATAAAACAAAGCAATGATCATGTCTCTGAATAAGCAGAATGATGCTATTGCTGCTGAGACCTTCCCCACTTGAAGTACAGTCAGGATCTAGCTGGCATGGCTGGTTTAGCTGTTCAGCAGCTAAGCGAGGATGCAGTTTCAGTGGATGCAAGAGTACTCTCTGATGGATTTATCAATGGCAGGAGAAGAAATGGGTCGTTTGGGCTGCAAGGTGTAGTCTACCTCGTTCTGGTATTTCTTGTCAGGAGGGAACAGGGGGACTCTTTTCTCAGTCAGTGTGCAATTCCTCACCGTGATCACCATAGGTGATTCCACCATAGATGGACTACCCTGTTTTGAAATATATGCACAAGTTTCAGGGAAAAATCCCTTCTTTTTCCAGTAGTGTGGTAGAGAAACATCAAGATTTTTTCTGCTGCATAATCTCTCCACTGGGAAATTCGCGGTGTGTTACAGCTGGGAGTAGTCTCACAGTATTGCAATAGGCAGAGCCTTTTAAGCAAGCTGCAGGGAGCTTATTTACAAGCGCTTTCCTCCTACAGAGAGCCTCTGTGATATTCTGGTGCAGAACAACAGGGGATCATTAATGTTTTCCCCTTTCATAGACTGGCCAGCATGTGTTCTGGAAGGGCCAACATTCTCTCTTGCATGCAGCAACAACAAAGCTGCATGCATGGGAATGATGGACAGGAGGATTTTAAAGCAGAGTAGTTTCCCACCCACTGCACCTTGTGTGTTTTCTGGGGTTGTGGTGATGTGCTGTGTCTGACCAGATACTGGATCTATGATTCTGCAAGAGTGCTCTACATGGACTTATTTTACTCTTCCAGCTAGCTATATAATTGATAAGTCCTTTAGAGTCTTTTTCTCTAGAGAAGAGAAACTTTAATCACATTTTAAACCAGTGGCAGGCAGTAAGTGCTTTCTTAAATGTGGGCCTTGGAGGACTAAAGGACCATTCATTTCAGAACTGCTAACCCATAAGAGCAACTAGCGGTTGACACCTTATGCTGAACACCTGCTTTGAAGGTAAGGCCTTTCGCCTCCCTGCAGCTGTTTCACAAAGTTGCCATTTGCCAAAAGATGGATGAAATGTGTTTGTTCAAATGATTGATACCTCCTGAATGAGAGATACGTTAAGCACATGACTTCTCTCCTTGGTTCAGAAGGCAGGTCCAGAGGGAATGGACTGGCTGCAGCACTGCTGATCTGACATAGAAGTATTCTTCAGTTTAAGAGCAGGCATCCAAATTGTGAAGAATAAATGTTGTTGGCATCCAACAGATGGTAGTTGACATGTTTTCCAGCTGTCATGAGTCTCTTGAAATTCTTCTGTTGTGTATGCCAGAGTTTCACCTTAGTGCTGCCAGGCTGAACACAGAAATGACAACTGCAGGTAGAGGTATTCTACCGCACTTCATAGGTAAAGAGAATTAAGCTGAACCAACAGAAGAGGATTAATAAATCTTGAATTAATATGTGCACCTCAGACATCATGATTGGGATATTCCATATTAAATTCACTTGGTAGAATAATTTTCATTGCATCAAGTCTTTAATTGTTGTCTCTAACCTCAGGTAAGAACTGAGTTACATGGAGCATCTATCTTCAGGATGTTTTCCTGACCGTGACACTAAATTGAAACATGTAAATGTCTTTTGCCTGGTACAGTTCTGGACTGTTTTCTGTTTATTGCCTCTCCTTTGAAGTGTCAGCTTTCAGTGAACTCTGCTAACATTTTATTATTGCATTGAGGCTGAGGCAGAGAAGAGCAATTAAAGGGTTGACATCTTTGGTATTTTTTTAATAATACATGTGTCAAAATGCATTTAACAAATTATAGTTGATGCAAAAGCCCAATTAATGCTAAAGTGTAAGTAGTTCATTTCAGTTGGGAGCAAATGAGAATTTTAAAATGTATAATAACAAAAAGTGGTTGCCTTATTTTAGATATAAGACCTAACTATAACTCCTGTTTCTGAGTCTTAAACCTTAAGTATTCCTTTCTGTTCCAGGATACAGCTGGACAAGAAAGATACAGGACCATCACTACAGCCTACTACCGAGGAGCCATGGGCTTCATACTCATGTATGATATCACCAGTGAAGATTCCTTCAATGCAGTACAGGACTGGTATGAAATATTGTTGTTGGGTTGGTTTGGTTTTTGACCGATTCTCTCCTCACAATTGTTTCTTGAGAACATTAGATCATCCCACCCTCCACAGTGCTTTGCTTTACCATATTCTTTCCTCTTCATCTAAACTCCGGGATAAATAATTTGGTTTTTAAACTCTCCTTAGAAAAAGTTCTACAGCTTCACTTCGATGAAAAAGTTATAATTCAAATATAGTAGCATACTATAGCAGTTGTTGCTTCTAAAGTTCTAATTTATTGTAAGTAAATTAATAATTTAGTGCAGTATTTGGTCTTATGAAGTTTCTGGCTGTACCACTAAAAAAATCCAGTTTAACAGTTGTTGTTTGAGTCAAATCTCATTTAAAATCTACTAAGGCTAAATCTTTCCAAACTGCCTTAAAAAGTGATTTTTTTTTTCTTTTTTTTTTTTTTTTTTGCAACCTGCAAGTGTAGACACATGGAACAGTATTCACCTTGCCTAACTTGAGATAATTAAAAATCTAACTTTACCCATTTAAAGCTTGTGAAGTTTAAATTAGTTGTAATAAGAGGAGGAAGAGCAAGGTCTAGGACAGAAGGTGAGCATACCCCTTGGAAGGGGCCTGTCTGTTACCACTGACGACAGAAAGCACTTGAACAACTCTGTAAGGTAGTGCTCAGTGTGGAATGGTGGGATGGGAGAGAAGGAGTTACCTATTAAATGGGAAGGGTGGGGACCTAGACCTAAAACTAGGTATGAAACAGATTCTCAGCTGTTATAAGCTCCTCTGGCTCCACTGAATTCAGTACAAATGCAGAAACAACACAAAATTATTTCTGGACTTCTGATGACAGAAAGTCAGGAAATATTTTTGGCTTACAGTGAAAAAAGAAAGTACCAGGTCAATCACTCTAAAAACTCTAGGAAAAGGGGTAATGGTTTTAAACTGAAGCAGGGCAGGTTTAGAGTAGATATAAGGAAGAAATTCTTTACAATGAGGGTGGTAAAACACTGGAACAGGTTGCCCAGAGAGGTAGTGGAGGCCCCATCCCTGGAAACATTCAAGGACAGGTTGGATGGGGCTCTGAGCAACCTGATCTAGTTAGCAGTGTCCCTGCTCACTGCAGAGGGGCTGGACTAGATGACCTCTAGGGGTCCCTTCCAACCCAAAACATTCTATGATTCTATGAGTATCAAAGCTGAATTGGTACCCAGGCTCATCTCCCACACATTTCAGTGTGCACTTTCCCTTCCCCACCTGGAGGCCTCCATTGTAGTTCATGCCACCCGTCTTCTTTCTTGGGAAGAAATGTCCCATCTCACCCCACACTGATCTGATTTTGGAAGCAGAGCTGTGGCCCAGAGCTTCTTCCTGTTCTCCTGCTTTCCAGACAAGTGAGTGTACAGAGCAGGAAGAGTAGAGGTCTTTCCAGAAGAGCCAGAGCAGATGTCATTTCTGTGGCGTTGGGCAGCTCCTGCGGTCCCCTCAGCAGTAGGTGACGGGAGGTTTTTTCTGAGCAGGGACCCAGTGCAGTGCCTGGGGTGAGAACATCGGAGCCGCTGCTGTGCGGTAGTGGCTGCAGGTACAGCGCAGGTAAGCGGAAGGCTGGACCCTGCTGCTGGAACTCGCATTCCAACGTGGCATCCTATCAAAGGGACACCAGACTTCGTGTAGGAAAGGCAAGGCATGGGGAGGCAGGGGAAGGGCTGTGTCTGTCCTCAGAAGTAGTACCTCAGCAGATCCCCTCAAATGTCTTGCAGTCGTTTCTGGTTGTTACCCTGTTGCTGTATGCTGCAGATACGTATGGTCAGCGTGCAGAGAAAGATAATGTAGTGGTTAATGTAATCTCACGTGTCTGATAGATTGATTTGCAGTGGTCTCAGTGACCTCCCAGGACTGTAAAACAGCAGCATGTAAGGTGACTTAAAATTTTTCTTACCTAACAGATCAGAAGAGCCTCCTTCTCCTGGAACATATGCTGGCTATAGCACTGGCTCTTAGCATCCAGCTCAGCCCGGCTTTTTGTTGAACATCTATTCTATATCCCCTAATCTAGCTTGTAACTCAAAAGCTGCAACAATGCTGTTTGTTGTTTCTAGTAATTTGGCCTTCCTCCAAGGCTGCCCATTATTTGTTCTCGCTGTCCACTGAAGCAGTTGGTCATGATCATCACATCTAAAGATGCAGTCTCCACTTTCACCCCATCTCCAGTATCATGACACCATGCTGCAGAAGGTGAACTGCAGCACCTTCCCTGAGCTGTCCTTCAGCAGCTAATGATAGAGGAATAAATTTTTTCCTTGCTAGAAACACAAACCCAAAGGCTTTGCCAAAAGCAGATTCTTCAACATAGCAGACCCTTCATCAAGCTCAGATGAAGCTGTTTCTTGAAGTGTCTGCACAGGGATTTTTTCCATAGGAGTGCAGGCATGTGAGCTAGGGCAGTATCTTTCACTAAACAATAAATATTTTCAGGTTCCCTGTTGAAACAAGGTATATATGATGAGTTCATCTGTCTGTCTGTCTGCTGGTTCCTCTCTAATGCCTTTTACTTATCAGTCTTAACTTAGCCAAAAAATACCAAATCTCAGTCTATGAGCTGCCACTATGAGATACTACTTTAAAGTTTGTACAGGTGAAGTTTAACCTGAAGCTTTGTATTGGAAACGGTCTAACATCTGTTCAAACACAATGGTGCAAGAATTAGGAAAGGCTGGCTTTGTGTATTTGACTTCATGTCTCCCTGTACCACAGGGGCTGCGTGAATACCTTTGCTAGGAGCACCTTGTCAGCCAGGGCGGAAGCGAACTGTCACTGTTGGTTTTTACTCTGTATGTCAGGTTTTAAGATTCTGAGCCCAAATGATGTCGTGGGGCAGATAAAATCAGCGTGTGGTAGACTATTTCCATCCTTTCTGAAGCTTGTCCACAGGAGGAGATGAGGACTACAGCAAAGCCAGCATTGCTGTGCCAGCAGAGTCCTCTAGTGGCAATGCAGCTATGAGGTGGTTTTTCCCAGTCTGCAAAATTGCTTTCTAAACTTCCGAAGGGACAAGAAATGGAAACAAAAGCTTTTGTCTGGTGCTGGTGCTGCTATATCAAGCCACTGCCATTTGCTAGCATAGCAAGTAGGTAGGATTTTTTGGGGTTGTTTGTTTTTTTTTTTCACCATGCTGAGTGATACAGTTAAGCTTCAAAAAAACATTACACTGGATCTGGTCTTCAGTCAGGAACTGTACTCTCCTTGGAAAATTAAGGTGTCTACTACTTTGAGCTCCTTTAGCTTAGAACCTCTATCTCCATGAGCCTAGTCCCTTCTTCAGGTCGAGTGCAAGGCAGCAGTAGCATGCCTAACCATAAAAACAGAGCCCTAGCAGTCCCGCAGTGCTTCTGTTTGGTGCTGGTGAGAGGACGGAGTGGCAGCAATTGGGAAGCCACATAGGTGCAAAGTAAGTATCATGCCCCTGATGCTCAGCCCTGTGTTGTCTTGTCCATCATGTGTGGATAGGACAGCCTTCCTGCTCTGCCTGCTGTGCCCAAGAGGGAGGACCTCTGTAAAAGTGAGAGGGCTGGACCCAGAATGTTTGGGGTGTGAGACAGTCTGATGGGAGTACAAGTGCCTGAACCACCTCTTCTCCACTAACGAAGCTGTTACCCTCAGTAGTGTTGCTTCTAGATTCCCAGGAAATGGCAAAGTTGCAGGCTGCTTTTTACCTTGCAAGGAAAGCATGTGGCGTGATAACATGAGTTGCCTCTCTGCTTGCAGAGGTTTAGGTGAGGCTACAACAAACCATGGTAGTTCTGAGACCGTACTTCAACCCTCACTGAAATTAAATGGGGCATCCACTTAGAATATATGCAAAAGCTGATAGCAAAGCTCATCTCAGGTCTTTTTACGTCCTGCAAATTTCCAGAAATTACAGCAATTAATCCTACATGTCCTTTCTCTCTAAGTGTCCTGCTATCCTAGCTGGCTAGTGATGCATTTTTCAGTGTTCAGGTACAGTAAATAAATAATAGTCTTAAGTTGAAAATTTTGTCATAAATGCAGCATGATGCAGCAAATCGGCTGACCTTTTAGACATCAAGAATAAATCAGCAGTACTCAGCTAAAGTGAATTAAATCCAGCAAGGAATCTGTTAACCTTCCCAGTTATTTCGAAAATAGCGTGTGTGGATGGAATTTGAGTGTTTCTCTGACATAAAAAGATGAGTAAGCCATCTGCCATGTGATCGTGGGACTGGGTTTATAAAGCAAATACAATTGCACTTAGGAGGATACCTCAAGAAAATCATCAGCAAATACAATATGAAGTGATGCTCCTTCCACTAACTTTTGGCTGCCTTCCATCCCAGTCCATTCTCATTGGCTGGTAAGAATTTCCCACCTGAACATAATTCCTGGATCCTAAAGTTGTACCGATTCACAAAGCCTTAGAATGGGTCAAGCTGTGTGCAGTGGTCATCTATGTGTTTTACAACAGGACATTGTCCAGTCTAAAGCTTGTTCCTTCTTGTGGGTGCCCTGGCTATTGCTGTTTAGTGATTCAGGTTTTTTAAGATGCTGTGTAAAAGCAGGGTGTCAACATGGCTCTCAGCCCATCTCACTGCTTTCTCTTGTACCGTCTCTTCCTGCAGAGGTCCCTACAGAAAACAAGCCAAAAGCATGAACAAACAGCTGAACCAGAGACCTAGCACTCCAAGTAAGCTCTCACCCATGACAAACTCTTACCTTCTGTTGAGCTCATAGGGGTGTGCATAGATCTCAAAACTCATCTTCATAATTACACTGAAATTATGGGAAGGCAGCCTTGTGCAAAGTCAGCTCTCCATCAGAGAGGAGACCTCTCCGGCATCTTAGAGCTTATATCCTCCCTCTAGCTGGGAAATTGCCATAGCAGGTTGTGCTCACCAGCCTTATTATTCTCCAAGCCTTTTCAGGAAGCTCCAACATTCTCTCTAAAACTGCCTCCCATGTATGTATGGTGCAATTTACCACTCATCTCTGGCTCATTGGCATGTGACTGTTTTAACAGCCTCCTGCCCTGGCCTCACCTGCCCACAAGGGAAACGAGAATCTCTCTTCCAGTTTGCTGTATAATTTCTTCCTTGGGTGATCTTTTTACCACACCTTTCTTATGGGTGGATGTCCTAAAAAGGATTCTGGTTTGCTTTGTGTCACTCCAGAAATACTTCTCCTAAACCAAGTACAGGCATTCTTTCTCCTGAATGAGGAGGATCATGGCTGTATATCAGGTATTAAGACAAGCTCTCAAGGTAGTATATGAATGTGAGCTATAGTCTTTCCTTGATTCACATGAATCACCCTCATTAATGATAATTATCTTAAAGCAGCTGAGAAAGAGCAAGGTACACAGTTTAAATGCATTTGGGAATATCTAGGATATGACCTGTTCCCTTGTTCCCTCACTGGGAAAGGTACAGCAGCTTGTATGAGAAGCCTTAAAAGATTAAGCCTGAGAGATATTCCTTACTGCAGTGTGGCAAGAGTATAGTCAGGTTATTTTAGAAGAAAAAGCATAAATGGGCAAAAGCAAAGATGGATTTTACCAGATATTTGAAAATAACTTTTTTTTTTTTAATAATAAGATGTCTTTCCTGTAGGGTGAGTGAAAGGGTTAAATGAGCTTTCATGGCTTTCAGCTCAGTTCCTAGATTTTTTTGGTAGGCTCCTTTGACAGTTATTATTTGACATTGGCTTGATAGTTTTGTGTGTAGATAAATCAGTGGTTTATACCTCATTTGAAACTGTACTGAAACTAGAATATACTCAGCATTTGATACTGTAAAGTAAATAGAAAATATTATGGAAACTCTGCTTTGGCCAATCTAGACAATTTCATAGAAGGGAAGAAAAAATTGGTTAAATTTAACTTAGATTTAAGTGACAGCTGGGTTCACAAATTATCAGCTTCATTTATCTTTAAGGCTGATCTCCAAATTAGGCTGTTGATATATCCATGTAACTGTGAACCTGAGACTATTTTTCTTCTAAGCGTGAAACATAAAAACCATGCTTTATCATTAATTTGGGGAATTCAGCACAAATAAGGCACAGCATTGTTACTGTGCCACAGAAATATATTTTTCCCAGTGTGTATATTGGACTGCCCTGATAGTTGTTGAAACATCTCAATTGTGCAAGCCTTTTTTATTTATTTATTTATTTATCCTTCCAAAAGCTTCTGGAAATTTGCTGCCTTTCTTTTTGTATGGGGATTGGGGTTTCTTTTAGACACTGTTCTTTGTAACTTCTGTTTGTTTTTACTCTTAATAAGTATAAATGGCAGTGTTCTGCAAGAAAGGATTTTCATTAACATGTACAAAACAAGGAGAAGGATGAGTTTCTGTGGGAGATCCTTCATGCTTTTTTTCTCCTTTTTAATTTTCTAAGTAATTCTGTTTAAATAGCTAAGATTTGGCTGTGTGTCCCCATATGACCCCCCAGGGGCTGAAGTGAATCCAGAGAGAGGAGTCAGAGTCAGAAGAGAAGCCTGCTTATAGGCTTTTTTTAAATTGAACCTGGACAGACTTTCTTTCTTGTTATTGCTTATAGAGGGAAACTGGGGAGATTTCATCTTCCTGGGCTTTGGTTGATTTCTGAGGTCATCCGTTTCTGTGATGAGCCTTGAGGAACCCCAGAATACTGCATAAACTCATCACAGACTCATTTTAGCTCTCACAGGGCTTGTCTGCATGGAGGTACTCAGAGAGGTGAAAGTGGAGCAGCCAAAACTGGGATTGGAGTGAGTGCCTTTCCAGGAGGACACTAAGAAGAAGAATAAGTTTCACTGCACATATTCCTTGATTATTTTTGTGTATTGCAGTATGGGTCTGGGCTTGTGCAATGTGGGTTTCGTTTAGGTCTGTTTTCCAGTGCAATCCAAACAAGCTGCTGCTTAAAGGCAAGTTGCACAGTGAAATGACCCCCTTTTTCATAGATATCTGTGGAGTAACATGACTGCTTTCCATGGAAAAGGCAAGTAAGCAACTCGAACTAATTAAAAATTATCGTTAGTAGATCAGAGCTGGAGGCTGCTGCTAATTCAAAACAGAAGGAAGCAAGCGCTTTCTTGTTATGGGAGTTCAAGCAAACAAAACAGAAGTAAAATCCGAGGGGATGCCTGGCTCTCCTGGGAAATGGCACTGTCCTGTATGGAGGGGTGGTGAGTAGGGACACAGAGTGGGAAGGTGAGTTAGGGACTGGAGGAGGGGTGGAGGAGGGAAGGAGTCTATCGCTTTTGGCAGAGCTGCCTAATTACCTTTGGGAAGGAGTGAGTCTTAAAGGATAGAGCTGACTTGGTGAAGATGAAATAGGTTGGGCCACTGCAGAAAAAATGGATGAGAATGAATGCTACCAAGCTAATACTGTTCTGCTGCTGGCTCTGTGACGTCTCCCCGAGGGTGGTGGGAAAGGACTGGCCCCTCAGGATAAATAGAAAAAAAAAAATAAAAAAACCTTCTGTTTTGTCATAGAAAAACTATAAAGAGGCCAAATATAAGGTCAGACTCCTGCGATCCACAGCTAGTTCCGCTCCAGTTTCAGCACACAAGGCACAGAGAGCTTTCGAGGCTTTAAGTTCATCCCAGTGCTCCTGCTTAAGCTCCCATGCACTTGATCCCACTGTCATTGAAGCTACCATTTGTCTGATATGTGCCGTCTGTCATTGCATCTGCATTGTTCCCTGCCTTAGGTATCACTTAATCCTGTTGGGTTCAAATATTAGCTCACAGAGCCTTACCTTGATCCTATATCTTCCCAATTTGGTAAATTTCTGTTTCTCTTTAGCAACACTTTCCAGTTTCTATGCAATTTTCAGTCTCCATGAACCAGTTTTCCTGCTCAAGCAAAGATGACTTCATGCTTCCATCTGACTCTCAAAACGCAATTTGTTATGCTGTTACTAAAACTCTGCAGCAAATGGGCATCTTTTTTGTCTGCTCTGAATTATTGTTGCGTGTTTTGCAAGAAGTTGTAAATCTAGCATGAGGTGTGTATCTATTGTATGGCTTTCTCTACGGGGACAATATCCTTAAGAGGTGTAATTGATTGTTGTTCCTCTGACAGATTACAGCTGAAGGAGAATGAGCTTTAGAAGAATGCTTTTTTGCCCCCTAGACTTCAAAAACTATTCAATTCAGCTTTTTGTCTGGATCTCATGATCTTTAAAACACTTGCAAGTCTTAGCAAATAACTTTATCGTCACACAAAGTGAAGGAGTAGTAAAATAGCATGGTGCTATAAATTACATAGTCTGCATCCTTGCTTTATGTGTAAGCTTGGTCATTTGTCTTTCAACCAAGTCACAGTCTTGAGATGTTGGTGTTGTCTTTAATGGTACTAGTTTTCATACTTGATATACGATTGTATTTTGATATACGTGGTGGAAGGTAACAATCTTTTTTGACCTGCTGTAGGGCCACTCAAATCAAGACTTACTCCTGGGACAATGCACAAGTGATCCTGGTTGGAAACAAATGTGACATGGAGGATGAAAGAATTGTTCCTGTGGAGAAGGGGAAACATCTGGCAGATCAGCTAGGTACATGTCAAAGCTTTTCTTTCCGCTCTTTTTCCTCTACTTCTTTATACTGCATTCCTTTTAATTTGTACAGTAAAAACGCCTTCCAGCAGTAATACTTTAACAATGGTATCACAACTAGGAAGTGTAATATATTCTAGGTCCATATTTTACTTGCTTAGCGCTGAATGCTACCTTCTTGTAGTGCTGTTTTTGTAAATCTAATATCTAAGGAAGTAAGGAAGATAAAGTTTGTCTGGACAGAACAGCTTTTATTAGCTCAGTGGAGTGAAAAGAGAAAAAGTTTTCCTAAACACAATTGCGTATCCAGGTCTCTAAGTACCATATAGTAATTTTCAGAATGTAAACATTGATTTTTGTAGAAGGATTTTTTTTTTTTCAACTAAACAATGAAAAAAGAAGTTTATAAATCAGAACTGTAGACTTGAATGAAATGTGTTTTTAAAATGTACCGGGCTTCTCTATCCAGGCAGGGAAATTACATTATGTTATTGATGTGGGGTAGAAAAAGCAAACCAGCTCCATTGAGAGGAAGCTAGGATTGCAGTGGAAATTTTAGAACTAACAGCGAAATAAACTCATCCTAATTTCTCATTTATCATTTTTCATTATATATTATAGCATATGTGATCTTTTTAATATGGAATCAGGGCTTCTGTGTTAAGTCTTAACTATACTGTTGTCTGCTCTTAAAGAATTCATAGTGGCAAGTAAATCCTGTTAAAATTGTATTCACTTAACAGTGGAGACCCTTATGGCAGGCACACTGTAAATTTTTGTTTAGCTTGTAAGAGTAGAAATTCTTACCAGACCCAAAGCAATCATCATCACCAATTTACAAAATGCTGTGTTGCTTTCTAATTCTTACGCAGTAATGAGAGGGCTCATTGTTAAACTGGGGGTACTGGGCTTCCAGTATACACTGCATACATTGTTGTAGTTTAAAGTGTGACCTTGATCAAATTGCCAACTATGGTTAAATCTTAGATAATGAGTATTTATTAGTTGGGGGTTTTGTTAGTGTTGTTTGGTTTCATTTTTTTAATGAAGGGAAAGTCTAGAAACCCTGGTCATAGATGAGTATAAAGTATGGCTTTGTGATAGGGACCTGTGTGATGTAAACAAAAGATGGTCATTGTTCCAAAGAGTTAAGAGTAATCAGATTTTATTTTTTTTTCATGTTTCATGTGCAAAAAAAAAAGCATGTCTGCAAAGGCCTGCAGGTGTAGAGCCTTCAAGTGTAAATTCTACATGTGCTAAGCACAAAGGGGTCACACCCATGACTGGAGCCTTGAGGCACTGCCATCATAAACAAATAATCAGCAAATACCAAACTAAACCCTCTAATTTCCCATCATTATTAGTATTGTAATAATAATTCTTTACATGTAAGACCAACAAAGAATACGAAGACATGGTTAGTTTGCAAAATCAGTTATGGGCTCTTTTTTACATACTAAAATCTAATTTGCTTTTGAAAATATGAATATGAATAAACTTGGTTCCTGGCTTGTGGACTTTCAAAACCATTGTGAATGCAAGGGGCCCCACATATTTTGCAAGAGTAATTACAGTGTTAGTAGTTAAAAGTTTGTCCAGAACCATGTAACAGCAAATAGAGTTTTACTGGAACTCCCACTCCTATTTGGACTTCTAGTGTTTCTTCTCCCCCCAGAATTCATCTGTTTGTTTAAATACAAACCTGGCATTTAGAATCTGAAACCTTTATGTATGGGATACTTCAGAACACACACATGCACAGAGTTACCATAGCAACTGACTCCATCAGTAGGAAACTGTTCTGCTGAAGAATCCCCAGTTCTGCCCCTGACCTGTCCTTGCGCTCGTCCAGCTCACCCTGGAGAAACATAGCCCAGTGCAGAGCAAAACAAAAGGTAACCATGCCTTTGGAAAGTGCTGTTCCAGTCCTCCTCTTCTGTAGCCTCCCAACATACTAATGCTCTTTTTAAAAGGGCTGAAAAAATACATATATATGGTTTTATCAGTCAGTTTTTTCTTATTAACTGTGCTGATGTGTACAGCATTATCTGAAATTACTTTGTATGTTAGGTGGGAGGAATCGCTTTAACTGACTATCGACTGCTTAAACTGCTAGCTTTCATCATAATGATTCACATAAAGGTTATCCTTCAGTGTGTTTATCTAGGTTTGTATAGTGACATTGACATCATTGAAGTAATTTCCTAATCAGATTAAGAAACTGTTATTGACCTGAACGTGAACTAAACCAAAACAGATTCAGCCACAGGAGAAGCTAAACCAATGTTGGACTGACAGATACCAAGTTCAGTTCTCTGATTTCTTGTGCCTTTTAATATACATTTTTAACCATCATCAAAGACAGCAAGTGGGGCAGGCAGAACCCTCGTCTGATGCAGGACAGCCATCCTTATTCAGTAACGAGGCAAGTATCTCCACCATCCCTTCACCCGTTGTCCCATGATTTTTAAAAAGTGTTAGAATGGGGTAAATACCCACTTGTTATCTCACACATCAAGATGACTCAGTCTACCAGCAGTGGCGAACTAATCAGTTAAGACGACTTATCTTTCCCTTCATTTGTGGCAGATTCAAAGAAAGATGATGCAATGCAGAATATCCCCCAAATATAGCACAACAGAATCTAGCCTATTGCAAAATAAACTCTCCGTGGTGCTTGAGCTCTCGCTGTTGGCAGTATAATAACCTGGTCAAACAGAAGCAACAGCCATTGTAAGTGATGGTTTGGGGCCTTTGAGGCCCCTGGGGTTAGAAAGATAAAGAAATGCTTCACGGTTCAGTGCATTTCTGCTGGCTGAGGCAGGGTTCAGGCTCCTCTGTGATAAGGCTGGGTCTTGTGTAGCCCAGGGGGCCGAC